GTTCTAGACTCCAGCATCAGCCTCACCCTGAAGGAGCTGTTGTCGATTGCACCTGATGTCCGAAAGCAAGTCAAGGAACTGTCATCCGCTAGGCGAGTTCCGAACGCCGCCACGCACCTTGTCTCGACGGAACCCTCGGAACCAACGACTTCCGAAGATGCAATCGTAGCTCAAGTCTCACAGCACGCGTGGAGCCCAGAGTCGGTTGCAGAACAGGCTATGCCGTTACGTACAGTTAAAGCCATCTTCGAAGATACTGAAGAAATCCACTGTATTCTAGACCAAGGAGCAACACTCTGCATCATTCGCGAGGATGTATGGAAACGTCTCGGAATCCATCTGCGTTCCGATCTCGCAATTATGCTCGAAACCGCCGACTCCGGACAAGCGCCGACGCTCGGTGCTGTTGAGAACGTAAAGATCAATATCGCTGGAGTCGACATCGCCCTCCAAGCTCAAGTCGTTCGTCAAGCCCCGTTCGAGGCACTCCTAGGCCGACCATTCTTCGCTATCACGGAATGCGAAACGAAGGACTTCATTAACGGCGACCAGTCCATAACACTATCGGATCCCTCGGATCGTCAACGGAAGTGCCGAGTTATGACCGGAACGCGATCCGTTCCGCAGAAACGCGACGAACAAGGATTCGCGGTAATCACTGATCTCTCAACTCCTATATTAGTCAATCAGCCCCTCGGTGTTCAGGACAAACGGTGTTCCGATTCGAGTTCCGATACTACCGAAGCCGCAATTCCCGACGCGCACACGCCATCCTACGATAGACACGCACCAGTCTCCGCCATAGTCAATCCGCTCCTCGGTTGTCCAGTCACCCCGTCAGCCGCCCCAGGATTAGACCCCTTCGTTCTATACACGCCCGACGGCCCTGGAGAAAACGTATTTGCATACAAGAAGGTAGCAAAGAAGGTTAGACCAGTCGCCGGAACTCTCCCGGAAGAGTTTCGGATCGTTCGACGGAAGCATCCTGATCCGTTGAAGGACATGCCGGAACTACCGCTGCACCCCAAGCCGTTTGTCCCAACACACCGTTTCACGCAAGAACGCATGGAAGCTCTTGACATCGATCCATGCAACTTCCTCTGGCCAGAAGAGCGCCAGCTTTTGATCAACCTGATTTCGATGCATGAGGACGCCTTTGCCTGGAACGAGCTCGAGAAAGGCGCCCTGGACCCGGAATACTTCGATCCGATTTTGATTCCGACCGTTCCGCATATTCCATGGGTACAAAGGAACATCCGGATTCCACAGGGAAACCTCGACGCAGTCGTGAAAATTCTCAAAGACAAAATCGCCACCGGAGTTTACGAGCCGTCAAACTCATCTTACCGTTCCCGATGGTTTACCGTAGTAAAGAAAGACGGAAAGTCTCTGCGCCTGGTCCACGACCTCCAGGAACTCAACCGAGTTTCGATCCGAGACTCATCCGTACCTCCGATGATTGAACAGGTTGTTGAATCCTTCTCCGGAAGGGCCATTTACTCCGCGCTAGATCTCTTCGTTGCCTTCGACCAACGCTCTCTCGATGAACGCTCTCGCGATCTTACAACGTTTCAGACACCACTCGGAACGTTCCGACTTACTGTTATTCCGATGGGTTATACTAATTCTTTTCAAATTATGCACGGTGATATTACTTTTATTTTACAGGACGAAATTCCTAATACAGCACAACCCTACGCCGATGACGTCTATGTCAAAGGCGGAACTACAAGATACGAACTTCCGGACGGAACGTACGAAACCGTTCCCGGAAACCCTGGTATCCGACGATTCGTATGGGAACACGCCCACGACCTAAACCGCGTCATACAGCGAGTCAAAGCAGTCCACGGAACGTTCTCCGGTCCGAAGCTGTGTGCGTTCCGACCGTACGCAACCGTCTTAGGCCATAAGTGTACCTACGCCGGAAGGGAGCCAGATGATTCAAAAGTCCAGAAAATCCGCGACTGGCCCGCATGTCGATCCGTCTCCGAAGTTAGAGGATTCCTCGGAACCGCAGGTGTCCTCCGCATGTTTATTCGAAATTTTGCTCAGCTTGCTAGACCACTCACGCATTTGACCAAGCACGACGTTCCGTTCGAGTTCCGTTCGGAACACATGGTAGCGATGGACAAACTCAAAGACGCCGTTATCAATAGCCCCGCCTTATGTGCCATTGACTATGAGTCGGACATGGAGGTTATTGTCGCCGTGGACTCATCTATTATTGGTGTAGGATTCTATCTCGGACAAGAACACCTCGACGGTCGTCGTCGAATCAACCGATTCGGATCGATTAACTGGAACGAAGCGCAATCCCGATACTCCCAAGCCAAGATCGAACTCTTCGGATTGTTCCGCGCGCTCCGTGCCCTACGAATTCACCTTATCGGAGTAAGGAAGTTAGTAGTGGAAATGGATGCCGTCTACGTTAAGGGTATGATAAATAACCCGGACCTACAGCCGAATGCCACAATCAACAGATGGATCGCCGGAATCCTGCTGTTCGACTTTGAGTTCCGACACGTTCCGGCCCCGCAGTTTGCTTGTACCGACGGACTGTCTCGACGTCCGCGCGCCGAAGCCGACCCAGAAGAAGAAGATGACTTCGAGGAATGGATCGACCAAGCTTACGCCTTCTGTTGCAGTTCCGTGTTCACTGTTCCGAACGATACCAAACCTTCCGAGACATTTCCGACAACCGATCGCGCGCGTGCTAGAGAATATCGTCTCGGACAAGTCAAGACCTTCCTGGAAACATGCCTCCGACCGCCCGGGATGGAAAATCACGAATTCACCACCTTTGTTCGCTATGCAACCACTTTCTTTGTCAAGAACGGCCGACTGTGGCGGAAAACCCGGAACGGCAACCACCAACTCGTAATAGAACCCGACAGACGATGGAATCTCGTCAAGACTGTGCATGACGATCTCGGACATAAAGGAGTCTACTCCGTCCGGGCTAGACTTCTCGACCGCTTCTGGTGGCCTAGCCTCGGACCCGACGTCAAGTACTACATCCGCACCTGCCACGAATGCCAACTCCGTCAGACAACTCAAATCCTGATCCCTCCCAGCGTTCCGAAGATTGCCCCGTTATTTGCCAAGGTACACATCGACACTAAGTTCATGCCGAAAGCAGGAGGGTTCCGATACATTGTTCACGCTCGATGCGCACTCTCCGGCTACCCCGAGTTCCGCTTACTCCGTTCCGAAACCGGACAAAGCATCGGACGATTCATTTTTGAAGATATTCTCTGTCGATTTGGTGCGTGCCCGGAACTCGTTACCGACAACGGAACCCCGTTTGTCGCCGCACTAGATTGGCTTCGCGACCGATACCACATCAATCACATCCGTATTAGCGCATACAACTCTCGAGCTAATGGTATTATTGAACGCCGCCACTTCGACATACAGGAAGCCCTTATGAAGGCCGCCGAAGGGAATGAACTACGATGGCATGAACACGCACATTCTGTCTTTTGGTCGGATCGGATCACGATCCGTCGCGCAACTGGCATGTCCCCTTATTTTATTGTCCATGGCGTTGAACCACTTCTCCCATTCGATATCACAGAAGCAACGTATCTTGCTCCAGCACCAGACAAACTCATGACGACGACGGAACTCATCGCAACTCGAGCACGTCAACTACAGAAACGTCCGGCCGACCTTCAAGCTATCACGGAACGCGTCCATGCGGACCGGATCGCTTCGCTCCGACGATTTGAAGAAACGCACAAACACTCGATCAAAGATTTTAACTTCGAACCCGGTCGACTTGTCCTCATACGCAACTCCAAATCACGAATGGATCTCGGACGAAAAACCAAGCCACGCTATCTCGGACCGTACATAGTAGTCCGTCGTACACAAGGAGGATCCTATATCGTAGCTGAACTCGATGGATCGGTCTCCCGTCTTCGCATCGCAGCGTTCCGCTTGGTTCCGTACTTTGCCCGCGCTACGCTCTCGATTCCGGTTACACGTCTTGTCGAAAACTTCGGTCCAGCTGATGAAATCGACGACACCGACGACCCGCCACTGTCGGACGAGCCTTCCGAGGACTCCGACTCCGACTAAAGGCCAATTGTGGCCAACCACCATAGACCTATGCGTTCCTTACTTTCTTGAATTCGCCTTTTTCTATTAACCCCTTATAATATTCTAGACGACGTTCCGATCCCGTTCCGCTCTGTCTTCCGTTTTTCTTTGATTTTGCTTTTAACTAATTGCAGATTATAGTTAGACTTACGCTTCGAACCCGCATGGTTTTCCCTGTAGTACGTTTTTTTTTTCCCACTGGGTTTTTCGTACACAGGTTTTCGTCCAGCGGCCCTTAGACCACTTTTGCATTTCTTTGGTCACAACAGCCTCAAAGTCATGTATTGAGAGCTTTGTTCCGTTCTGTTCCGTTCTGTTCCGTTCTCGTTCCGTTCTCGCACTGTTCTTGTTCTATTTTGGTTCTGTTTTTGTTCTGTTTCTTTTCGGTTTTGTTCCGTTCTTGTTCCGTTCTTGTTCCGTTCTCGTTCCGTTCTCGTTCCGTTAGTTTGCCTTACTTTCAGTATGCATATGGCCTTGCCTCTGTTGTTTACCTATCAATGCCGAGTCACTCTTATTACCTTACGATTATCACACTCGTGCTTTGGTAACATCACGCATTGCTATGAACATACGGAAAATACTATTCAAAACTACAGAGGGGGGATTATATTTGGCCGCTTCTACAGGCAGCTTTTACGTCGACCGTCTCACCTACGCTGGTTCAGTTGTTCCGAACGGAACGTCTAATTCCGTCCATCCTTCCGTCCATCCTTCCGACGCCTCGCCTTCGCGCCCATCCTAGCCCGTAGCCGCTCCACGTCCCGTATCGTCGTATCCAACATCGCACGATAGGCAGCCACTGCCTTCCGAGGACCACGAAGCTCG